GGAATACTTGAAATAACATTAACACATTTATCATGATACGAGACGCACGCTACATTGGAAATATTTATTGCGTCACTCAAATATTTAACATTTCAATTCTTAAAGCTTCACTTAATATTGACATTGTGATATTGCGTTCTTAGTAGATAGGCATTCAGTGTGTATTACCGATGAAGGCAATGACTCACGTCGTTGCACTATTTTCAAATGTTGTGTCATGCAATTTGATCGTTTGATTATGAAGTTGATTCTTCGAAAAAAGTGCTGTCATATATTGATAAGGGGGCTATTTGAAAAAAAAATACGTGAGAAATTGAAGGATGAAGATATCTCGGAGAGAATTGTTTGAACTTTAACAGACGTGGAAAAGGAGCCGATTTGAAAAGTAATTTATGGTAACAATGTTCAGCTTTGTATCAAGGCGAACGTGAGCTGGATAGCTTCGCCGATGAAATAGCTAAGAAAATTGTAGACGCTAACAATATGCGGATTTGCGTGATGCAATAAATATTTCCAGCAGTGTACACGCTCTATTTTACTTTGGCTTACGTGAGCCATATTCTGAGCATTTATGCTATGCTATCGGAGAACGCATTTCAACATGGAAATTCTGATTTCAATGAAATTTTCGTGAGATCGTAGAGCGTATCGTATTGTGCAAGGAACATTATCTTTTAACCGCAATTGAACGGGTAAAATGGATTTTTTAAATTATTACATTTTCCGTTCTTGTACTCCAATTTCGTAAACTTGTGAAGTATCGAGCTGCTTTAAGGAAGAATTGTTTTTATTGTTCATCGCGTTGAAGCAAACAAAATATTCAATTACGTATAATATACAGACAAATTTCGTTACCTGAAAATTGCAACAAGGAACTGTTCTTTTTCTATGAAATCGCAAGAATCTGTTTTCTGAATAAACGATTTATTTTTTCAAGTAAATGTTTCCTGTAAAAGTGAATTAGGCGTAGAAACAACAAGATGAATTTTAAACATTTATTTCTCCAGTTCGAAGTGACTTTTTTAGCAGTTTCTTTTATCGTTCAGTAGATATACTTTACAGTCTTATAAAAGTAGGTAAAAAGTAGATAAGAAAAGATCAACATGTTGGTGAAAATGATCCTAAGTATATAAATGAGTTTGATTAAAATCAGCATTACTAAATGAGAAATCTTTGTCTATTAAAAATTATTTTTATTATTTTAATATTATTTTTATTAAAGGAAGTCAAGGACTATCAAGCAGCTTCATAAAAGTATCGATGAGTAAGGTGTAGAAAATAATCGTTAGATATCAATTATGGTATAACCTAACCAGAAAGGATCGCTGAAACAGTGATACAAGATAATGAACCATATACCGTGTGTTGCACGGTTTATGAAACAAGTATGTAATTCGCTCGGGGTATTCCCGTGCATCCCCTTTAGTGCACGGGCGAGAGCATGCGTAGTGTTTCGATTGGTATCACGAGCATAAAGCAACAAGTAATTGACACTGTTATCAAACATCTTGTTACGAAAACGGAGTATTTTGTTGATGCGCCGGTGAAACACCTGCTGCATTGGTAGATTAAATTCTGTAAGGTTTCGTTACATGATGTAGTCAAAATATCTGCACGTCAATGTTTAATTCATTGTCTTATTAATGAGATAATATCTTAAAAATAGAATAAAATGAAAAAGGGGGAGCAGTTAAAAGCACATATGATGGAAGTAACGGATTAATAATTTGAAGTTTAATGCTAATGGTTCTGTTCGTTGAAAGTAACTGAAATTGCAAGTTAATATTTTGGAGTACCAAATTTCATTTTTCACACGTGTACCTAATTTTTAATGGTTTTTAAATAGAAAAGCTTGTTTCCATGACAGAAATAAGAATTGATAATCTTATACACACTGTTTTTACTCAAATAAAAGATATCATTTGGAACGTGCAATCAGTTAATCTACACAAAAGTAGAAAATATATTTCGAATATGCAATGTACTTTACGTTTCTCAAAATATCGTTGTTTTCTTCAACGATTTCTGCTGATCACTAAAAATATTTCAGGATTCAAATGTAGCTCGCTAAATGAAACTTCGTTGTCAAATACCGCCGCCTCTTCAATCGAATACATGACTAATTAAAACTAAAAATAAACTGTTCGATTAATCCGCTGACTTTTGAAAACAGGACGAATCTACTATCCGGAAGAGATAATTCCGGATTTATCAGTTAAAATGAGCATTTAAAATCCGGAGTATTCTTAAAATCTCAATGGCCCATTATCAATTCAGTAACAAACCGCCATCGATTATCGTGTCAATCTCAAATTCAATGCGAACTAAATTCCTACGTCAAAGAATGTCCTTTCAAACTCTTTCGATCCTTTGAAATCATTTAAACGATTCAAATTTTACGAATTCGACGACGAAAATGGTGAAAAAGAAAAAAAAGAAGCACTCTCCACACGAGAAACTCTATCATTCCCTGTCGCGATAAAAGTTTCGTCGCAACGACGGAAGGAAGGCCGTGGGACAGCATTAACGGATTAAAATATTATGTCGGAACGTTCCGTTAACTTTCCGCGGTGGCAATTAACGTGCAGGTTTAACCGTAATTTCGTAATAGCCTGTTGCAATTCGCGGCATTAATATCTGTCGGCGTCGCGCCATTAGCAGAAGCGACCGTAAACGGGCCGGGGTTAGTCGCGCGAACGTTGTATTTTAATTACATCGAACATCTGTTCGACGGACGTATCTGCCGCGAGAAATATTGTTCCTCTATACGCTAATTATACGAACTACATCATCTCCCTCTCTCTTACCTTTCCTCTCTTTCTTTCCTTCTCCGATCAGCTACTTCGAAGCGAGAATGCTCGATCAGCCGCGTCAATATTAAATTCTACCGCGAAAGCCACTATACAACGAGAAGGAACGCTACTATGTATTAATTACGATGGTGTCTCAGCATTTTTCATCTTCGCGGTCGTTACTTACCTTTTATCGCGTGATCGTAAGATTTGCGTAATCGTCAGAAACGATTATACATCCCCCCGGAACGTTTTATTAGATCGGTTTCAATATATGCAACCACCGAGCGCCGATTGTAATAGAGACCCGTTAAATGCTCGTTCGTTCGGTTACCGACGGCGGCCGTTTAACAAGGCTCCCTACCGTAGCTTGAAATTCATTGCAAATAAATTTACCATATCGGACACGGGGAATGTTATAGGATACGCTCGAAAGATGAGAAGCGATAATTCTGCCGGCGGAATTTTTTTCAACGTTTCGTTACGTTGGTTACGGCTAATTGAAGACGCGTCGACGGGAAATTATTCGAATACGATTGTGATACTAATTGTGGGACGGCTTTTCCGTTCGGCTTAGAATGTTGCGAATAAGTTTCCTGATTTTATCACGACGGGGTATATTTTATTCGCGTTTCGGCGTTCGCGATTTAACGGGCATGCGTGATGATATATGAACATTTAGCGACGTTAATTGCATTGTTCGAAACGCTGAGATTATAGGATTTCGGTTGCCAGGGATTTTTGGAGTAATATGCTTCAAATGGAGCATTACGGGCTGTCGATACGGAATATTTTGGTTTTCCAGGTTTTGAAATTCGAGCTGAAAGGATTTCATTTTTAATTAACAGTTTTCTTCCGATATACTTTTTTCAGTGAAAATGTAACTAAAGATATTACGAAATATCATTTTTACCATTGTCGTGTTTGATATTTTCGATTTATTCGAAGCCTGGATTAAACATTTATATGCAATGTTAAAATTATTGAAAGTAATATTTATATTAACAATTATCCTGTCACACAAAAGAAATATAAAGCAAGGATTCTCCTTTAATTTCCTGATATTTTGATTTCAGTTGGATGCGAAGAAGAGTCCGCTCGCCCTGCTCGCTCAGACCTGCAGCCAAATAGGAGCCGACACGCCGTCCAATAAATCTCTGCTGGGCTCGTTGGACAAACCGTCGAGCAACAAATCGTCGAAGTCGTCTGATCAATCACGCGAGAAATCGTCGCCGGCTGTCGCGCCGACGTCGACAGAATCGAGCAGGACCAATTTCAAGCCGTACGAGTCCTGTTTGGGGCGCGAGAAAGCGTCCAGCCCAGACGAGCAGAGGTCAGCATCTAGTCACTCGACGTCAGGACGATCGAGAACACCTGGTAGCGGTAATAAACGATGCCCGAGTAATCAGAGCGCCTCGTCAGTTCGCGCAGTCACGCCACAAGGTCGGAAAACGGCGACGCCGAATGGTGACGTGGCCCGGGAATCACCAGCGTCCAGGACATCGGGAGCTAATCTATCATCGTCTCAGCTTGAATCGAGTACGTCTCAACCGACGGTGGTGAGCAGTCCATCTTTACAATCGAAACCTTCCTATAGTCCAGCGGGGGTCTTAGCAATGACGGATCCGTCCATCAAGGATCTACCACTGGGCACCTTTAAGCCCGGAGTCAGTTTAGCCAGTTCAACGTCCAGCTATCTAGGCTACAGCCCTCAGTTACCCGTGGACGTGATGGCCAGTTCTTTGGTATCCCAGCATCACGCGGCCTTGAAAAACGGCCTGGTCGCCGGGAATCCTTATCTGAGCTACGCCCGATTGAAGGGCACTTCGGGGCCCGACGCGTTGATGCCGGTTTGCCGAGACCCCTATTGCACTGGTTGCCAATTGAACTCGCATCTGTTGGCTAACTCAGCTAGCGCGGTCGCCAACGGGAAGCTAGCTTCGAACGCTGCCGGCGCCACTGGCACCTGTCCGGCGGGTTGCGCGCAATGCGATCACAAGCCTGGCACAACGCCGTACGGCGCGCTCGGCGTCGCCGCCTATGCTCACGCGCAATTGGCCGCATTGGCTGCTGCCTCGCAGCTTCCCTACGTCTGCAATTGGATAGCTGGCGACACTGCTTACTGCGGCAAGAGGTTCTCAACGTCCGAAGAGTTGTTGCAACACCTGAGGAGCCACACCAGCATGTCGAGCAGCGGCGCCGCCGCGACAGATCCGTCCGCGGCCGCGCTCTCGCTGCTGTCGCCGTCCGTCGGATTGCCGCCGACCCATCCTTTGTTCTCCAGAACTTATCCGACGCCGCCTTTGAGCCCGCTCGCGACCGCGCGTTATCACCCCTACGGGAAACCCTCGCCGTTGTTACCGCCGTCTTTATCGTCGCTCGGTTTACCGCTTCCGCCGCCCCACCCCCACACCGCCGCCGGTCTACCACCGTATTTCTCGCCGTACTCTCTGTACGGGGCTCCGCGGCTCGGCGCCGCGTCCGGCATGCCGCAATGAGTACCACGATCGTGAATCTTGCGCATGATTGGACACGTAGATAACTACCACTGTCCGACGCGGATCGGTCTGATCCGCGATACTCGCCGGACGATTCTTTGAGGGTTTCTTCGGGCTGAACGCGAATCGGGAAGTGCGCCTGCTTTGTTATCTTTGGTTTTAGGGAAAAGTGATTTCCAAAAGGAAAGGAGACTTGTAAGTTTGACAACAGTTTGCCCGTTAAACGTTGAAACTGTGAAAGCTGAGAGAAGTAATGTTATGTATATTTTAGTGCCTTTTTCTCTTGGTTTTATAGGTATTTGATCCCTGGAATCGATTTGCTCCTGGTATTGGCATATTTTTGTTTACATTTGTAATTGACGAAAGTAAATTTTATGTTTAGAACCCTATACTATTTTTTCAAATTAAATCTCTCGAAAACTAAGAGTGGTAAGGTATAGTTTTTAAATTCATATTCAGCATAGAAAAGTCTAGAAGAATCGCCTGGCGAACGTCAGATAACGTAAAAGAAAAAGTGAAAATTTGTTGGACAGTGCTATAAACCGTTTAACTGTGATCCATGTTTGAATATGAAGTAATGGAGTGTTTGATATGGGAATATGAGAACCGAGAATAACGGAATTCGAGAGCGAACAAGTATTATTGCTAAGGTAACCTCATCGTAATCTCATTAGACGAATAAATTGGTTGCTCGATGCTATCCGCGGTAACGTACGAATACAATTATGCGATTCTCCGATACTTCGATCTTTTTTCTCCAATCGTGTCATATCAAATTGCTCCATCGAGTTTATTTTCCCCCTTTTTTCTTCCTTTCCTTGGATCCGTTACGACGCGAAGGCTGAGACTTGTAAATAATCGTATTGAGAAAAGTCGAAGAGAAAGGTGAGCACGTGCGTTTATTTTATACCTCGTTGATATCTTTGTGTCATCGTTAAACCGCGGATTTTATGCACTTACAGTATTTGCAAACGTATGTAACGTAGTAAAATAATTTAACTGAAATTTAAAACGGTTTTTACATTATTATCGCAATAATGAAACCCGTGACAGAAAAGATAAATTTTTATTCAACGATCATTTTTGTAAATTGGCTCGTAAAAATTTGTATTTGCATAAAAATCTGCGATCTAGACATCGGCGTGTTCACTTTTTACATTCACGATCTATAAAGTAGAGTTCTGTATGGAGCGAATAGTCACCGGTTACACGGGTAATATGGTTATTCTTATCCGGTTAGTGATTGAGTATAGGGGTAATATTTTCAATATTATCTGAATTTTCGTTGTTATGTATTGAACTGTTCAATTTTGACTAATGGAGTATTTACAAAATGAAAAATTATCGTGGAATTCAAATCATCTAACATAACTAAACTCTGAAAAATATCTTCGACACGCATGTTCTCAACGAAAAGTTAATTTTGAAGCATTCCGTGTGATACGGAACAAAAATCACAAGAAAAATTCAACAATCCACCTATCTCATTGTTCATTTTTAAAAGCATCGACGGAAGAGTCAAATCTCGCTTCAAATTTCCATCTTACAACGGAACAGTTCAAAGAAATCCGTGTCTGCACGCACGTCTACAATCTGCCGATGACCTTAATCATTTCAATACCACGTGTAACCGGATAATACCCGTGATTGTACGCGGTTATCCGCAAAAATCGTTCGCATCCGGAGGCTTTATCCGGCAAGAAATCCCAAAGGGATCGCAAAGTATTATTGTATCAAGCGTTTATCTGTGATTTCCCGCATGAGGGTAACGAAGCGCACACCGCTTGGTCGGGGAAAAAAGTACGGGGATCTGAAAAGAACACGCCACGCGTTAAAAGAAAAATCCTAATGGCCGACCCGCGTAATTATGAACCGTCGACGCGCGTTTAACAGGCTCCTTCGTATAATCGCGGCGTTACGGCGCTTCCCCGAGTGCTTAATCTTAATATTATGCCGCGTGGCTTGCTCTGTTTGCCTCGCGGTTCAAATTTCCCGACGCCCACCTGCCCTCCGGCTGTAATTTTCGCCCGCAAATCCGTGCGTTTCCACGCCCATCGACGCCCATGCGGATTTTTCCTCCCTCCGGTCTAATGAATTTTCGCCCGGCCGATAATTCCTCGATTAAAAATCATTCTTGTCCGCGTCGCGGCCGAAAGCGTTACTTATTTTCGGAGGAAATTAAACGTGTGCCACGGGTAACGTTGAAAAACCAATGTTCAACTGTGATTTCCGAGTGAGAAAGGTAAACGTGTGCGAGTGAGAGACATGTGCTTCCGCTACCAGAGAGTTATCGTATGTGTATATATACTATATGAAATCTGTATGTGTATGCGTGACTTTTAGAATTTACCGATAACACGCGCAATGACGGAGTCTTGTTCGAAAGGCGACGATTAAAAACTACGGTTGCTTTTAACGGTTCCCGTGCGTTGGAACGATTTTGGAAGAACAGAACGATTCGTTTTCGGTTATTTTTTCCCCTTTTTTCTCATTTTTCTTTCGGTTGGAATAACAGACGAGAAAGCACCGTGATTGTTTTGAAAGTAACGCGGACAGAATTTATTTGAACGTTTCTGCCGCCATTGACGCGGCACTCGAGCGTTTGGACTACGACGCAACTCGTTTAGAGGATAAATAGATTGCACGTGAACCAACTGTGGAATTAATGGACAAAGGAACTGCGTTTGTTAGCGTTTATTGATCTCTTTTTACAAATTCGTGCCTTTCTTTCTATTGTCGAGTCATCCGATCGTGACTGTAACGGACGTGCGATGCATTTCTTTTAAAGCTAGCGACACCAGCGCTTGGTGGTCAACAAAATGGCGGCGGACGCGTTTAACCCTTTGCGGACAACGGCCGCATATGTGCGTCCTGTATACACCATCAATCTGGCCGATAAACTTATATATATATATGCGTTCAGCGAGAATAACTGATAGAGCAGAACGACTCGTATATGTGTCCCAGGCAAACACATTGCTATGGGCGATGAACCCATAAATACGTCCCGCGAACACAATTGATAGAACCGAAAGAACATTTTATTTATCCTGTGAAGAATCTCTGCCTGTACGTATGTCCAGAATTTGGCATCTTGAAGTGCTATGAACGATAATAGTGTGTAGGCAGAAGTGTGCGTTGGCAATTTCAAACGACTATCGCGTCAGCGGCTCGCTCCAGGGTATGGTTGGTCTCGAACCGTCCCGTCCGCAAAGGGTTAAAAAGAAGTGACTGAAAGAAATTTCTGCGGAGACGATGAAAAACGATTATCAAGATTGTAGTGCTGTGTAAACTTTTTGATCCAAGTTCTTCACGTGTTTTCTGATTTCGGGGCCCGCGCAATATGGCGGTACACGTTCGACGGTGTAATCACGAGCGCGCAAGCGCACGCATTCCCTCTCTGTAATTGCGAGCCATTCGAATTAATGTAATGCAATCAGTCTATGTGTAGTATTTATGAATTTAACTATCTATCGCTATTCCTCATTGTAATTACTGTACATTTGTTCATAGATATGTAGGGTATAAGAGTCTATAAATGAAAGATCATTTTTCGACGCGACGGCGGAGCTTAGTGATAGTAGGACGCGTGTACTGTGACGATCGAGAAAACAGATTTCCGACTAGGTGGCGACTATATCGTGTCTATATTTTTGCGTAACCAAAGTTTTAGTAAACGATCGATAATTTCCGTAGCATTGCGGGTTCCTCTAAGTAACAACGTTATGTAGGCGAGAAGTAATGGACAGAAAAGAAAAGAATTACTGCGGGACATTCAGTTGTAAATAGATTTATTTTATTGTATACGAGGTGTATATGTATATAAATATGTATACATGTATGATTATTATTATTATTTTTATTATTATCATTAATAACATTATTATTATTATTATTATTATTATTATTATTATTATCAAAAACATTCTAAATATCGGGACAATCCTTTTATTTGCGAAAACAACAGACCTCTGGTTATTTATTAGATGTGCAGCGGTTAGTTTTTACTTCGATCTGAATTTTGTATTTTTTATTATATTATTTTTCGTCTTGGAATGCACAATGAGACCTAAGTATTTTGACTTGTTAATTCTATTATTATTGTTCTTCATTACGTAGTGCTCTTTGATACCCTATTAAAGTGAAATATATGAGAACATATTTCGTATCGAGATACATTTTTGTACCTTCTTCTAACTTATTTCTGTAACAAAAATTGTTTGCTGTTCAATTCAAGGATAATAGGTTGTATTTTTTGTAAAATTTTAATTCAACATGTACACGGTGGGTATTATAGCCAATTTTATACGACAATCAGTTACAAAATCTGAATGCGTCTGTTTCTGTTCGAAACTAATTGTTAAATTTTTCGTGGTTGGCTATAAAAAGAACCTCATTCACTTTTGTTTACATGAGTTCGACGAACGTAATTTTCTGTGCATTGATTTTTATTATTATTTACACTAAAAGTTTTTGTTTGCACTTTAAGCAAAAAAGCAAACAACAACAATAAAGCAAAAAAGTAGTATGATTACCTTGAACTTAACGTAACAACAATAAATTTTAATGATGCACGAGTAACTATCAACTTCAAACAATTACGTGGTGATAAGCGAATAGATAATTGGCATTCAAATTATCTACTTACGAATTCCAAGGTAAGTAATTTTTTCTGTCAACATTTTCTGAAATAATCATTCAAAGCCGATAGATCAATCCGATAAATCGTAATTTTAAGCAAAAGTAGATATTAATTAAGTTCATATTTTACCTCCTTTCAATCTTTCATTTCTATTAAGTTTGTGTCGTAAACAATTTCACTGAAAAGTATCCTTATTTCACAATTTACAACTATTTTGATCCTGAGATACAGTTGTAAATTATACGTATTGCATAAAACATTTCGACGATTGTAGGAAAAGTAGTTGGTGTACCGGTGTTCGTTACGCATATATCGAAAGAACCGTGCACGAGGCGGCAAAATTCTTCTTGAAATATAGTACGGCATTACTTTTACATAATTATGACATATCTTGTTTTTCATCAACATTTGAAGGAAAATATTTGCCCCGTACGTCCTCTACTTTATGTTTATGAACAAAATATAGAAACGTGATCGGTGAGGCATACTTGTTTACACTTTATTCCCGATCAATGCTCATTTTGCTGTCATAAATTCTTCGTTGTATGCAAATATACGCAAAGGTATATATTTTCGCACTCAGTACCTCGGGAAGGATATATAAATAAAAATTCATTTAAGACGCCGGTGAGACGTACGAGGAAAGGAGTGTCGGGATACAGTGTTTTTAATAAGTACTTCCTCATGCTCGTGTTTTTGTTTTGGACCTCGAATAAGAGAGAAATGATCGGAGCAAAAGTTGTTAAACAAGAAATTACACAGTGCAGAACCAGTTCTTTTATGAATCATAATATCGATTTCATATTTCGGTGAACTGTCGATCACTTACGTTACATTTAGACATACACGACTGTATACCCGTTTTCGAAATGAGTGGTTTTACATGCTCCCAGCGATGAGAAATGAAAAAACGACAAATTATGCAAGTTGTTCGTACTATGTTTCCTTGAGCAAGTGTTCTGATCACCGATACCCTTTGTTGAAGAAGCAACTTTCAAAATTAGAAAAGGCAGTCGGTCTATGCGATGGGCAATTCTAATTCGTTCGAGTTTTTGTTTGATTGAAAATTAAATTTGAAAATATTAATATAAATAATTAGGTATCAAGTTTCCAGTATCTTCATTCAATATCGATGACAACTAGTTACCGAAGCTGTCTGATTTTTATAGAAGTTTTTAGTGCTGTGTGTATAGACCTGTATTATAATCAGTGAAAATAAATAATATATCGTGCTGATTACTCATTCGCGCTTACGCTACAGTTTTCAATAAATTATTTCTGAAACTGAACTTTCGAAATAGAATTATTAGATATTTTTCTTTAATTTGTTCTATTTATTAACTTTTTGAGAGGAGTAATCACATTCTTCCTGTGCAATAATTGCGTTCTAGATCATTGAAACAATCGATTATGCTTTTTTTATATCTAATAAAAGGGTAAACACTTTTTATAGAATTTCGAATCCAGAAAAGTTGGAAAACAATAGCAAATGTTTTCTCAAGCATTTATGACATCGGAAAATAGATTTGAAATATAAAAATAAATGTGTAGGTGTCAGTATAGATAAACCGTTTAAAATATTTTCATCAATCGTGTTCGATTTTATTTAACTTTACCTTCTAACATTATTTTTATGACTGCAGCGATTTAAAAAATAGTCTCACGGAAAGCGTGGTATAATCATGGTTTATTTATATTAAGGCATAAATAATTTCTTCCCATCTTCTTTTAACACCACGTCTATTTTTAATTACATAAATTAAGAATTCTTATTTTTATTATTTATACATAATGTTCTTCGATACTATTAAACCGAAACGTATTTACTACTACTCTCATAGTTCTTATACTATTATATTTTATTATACTACTTTCATGATTATTATCATACTTTTTTCACATTTATATTACATTTCTTTTGAAACTTTTCTTTTAAAAATATCATCGTATTATAACAATTTTCCTTTTCTTTAAAAATGCCTATTATAACAAAATCATGACTTATCTACGCGTTTCCCATTTCTCGACACAATCTAAGTCGTACAGTCAAACTAAGACCCGCTGCCCACTTCACAGACACGTTTTAGCACTGCAGCAAGGTCCTGAATCAGGACGTTCATCGCGTCAACGCTTCCGACTAGACATTTAATGGGTTTTTGGGCGCAGAACAGGATATTCCTAGAATGAGTGGTAAGATCGTAGGATGAAACATGGCTGGCAATTTTACAGTCGGATAAAAGAGCACTTCCCCGCAAGGATAGGACTCGACAAAAAACGGAAACCGACGCAAGAGTGTTCGAGCGGCGTCGTGTGTTCCGTCGGGCCAGAGCCTCCGACTCGGAGGGTGATCTTGCTCGCTCTTTGAGTGATTTATGGACAGACTGCTGCGACTCCGTCTCTACTTCACCTATTCACCTCGTTAGAAAGGATAATGTATTCATGACTGGTCAGACTCGTTCCCGCGCGTTACTGTGAATTTCTAAACCGAACACCGGAGGTAACCCCGTGGAAAAATCTCTTAAATCTAATCGATTTGACCACCCGGTGTACACACGGGGCGTTCGAGAAGTCTCCGGAAAATGTAAACAAAAAAAACGCAAATTGAATCGGTTGCCTTATTCTTCGATACACACCTATTTCATTTAAATTACTAATCACTAAAGTTAACACGACTAAAGTGAAATGCTGATACATTTAAATTAAATACCAATACTGAACTTTTGATTCGTGGAATACGTTACATCGAATTTTTCAGGGGAAATAGGAAATTTCTATGTTTTAAAGCTTTGCCGCTCCAATTTATTCTTCATTAAACTTTCTAATACTAACTTTGACTTCTTTCGTGTTACATTGTACATAACGAACACCTACCTCGAGAAAGAAGTTCACGAATGTATTCCCTCTTTAAAACCTCTTGCAAAACTTTTTTTATGTTCTCAATTCACCTTACGCAGGTGTCCATTGGAGCAATAATTAACCTTATCCGCGTTGTCCATAAATCACGATTATTTATGCACGCATTCCAGATATTTAAATCGAAATTTCACGTTTTCCCTTATTAATTAAACGAGACCTTCAGCGAAACAGAACTATTAATTCAGCAAATGGAATTTTTGTCCTTTTCAACTTGCTGACGCGGAATACTTGACCAGAAAAATGTGGATTTCCATATACATACATCCACAGCCAGGTTATCTGTTAATTACAAGTGGAGTTTCGAACCGGATTTCCTATTAAGTACTTTCATTATACTCGACCATGAGTTCTCGGAAATCCACTGGCAGCGCCACGTGATCCATTCTATTCGGGGCCCGAAGATTAATATAGGAAACGTGGCCGGCACAATTTGTTACGCGTTACAAGTGGTCGTTAGATCACGTCGGCGGCGTTTCTTTTTCGTCGAGCATCGCTTCCTGTCTGTCAATATCCGTCGATTACTCGCGTGTAAGTGGCCGTGCAGGGGCGGCATGTAAGATCTTGTCCGTGAATGCAAGAAGAAAGTCGCGGCGAAGACAGAGCGAGTGGCTTGTCAAGAGCTTCCTTCCGGCGGCGCGGCGCGTCGGCGAGCCACGGGGTGCTCCAAACGAATTAGTTGGCGCCAGAAAATTCAATGGTTTCTGTCTCGCTACCCGGGGAACCGGTTCCACTTTGCTGCTTACATTTTTCCTACGATCGCCGGCCGCTCGACTTTATCGCGCGCCGATTAACGGGAAGCTTTTCGACGGATCTATTCACTTTAGCTACCCGACGCGACGGCTGATGCGATCCTCTTTTTCAAGAAATGAGTTTGTTAGTTTAGTAGTAAGTAAACGCGTCAGGTTTTTAGACCGAGTACGCGTTCATTTTGTATGACATAGCTTATACTCGTTTTTGTTGGTTTCGGTGTGATGGAGTTTCCAAGCTTGTCGAGCCGCGGAAGGTTAAAGTAAAACAATATTTCGTGAAGTAGCTAATACAAATTGGGGTTAAATAGAAGTTCAATTTTATTATTACAACGCTACTATAGCGTAACAATCTTCGTCAGTTATCTTGTTAAACTTTGAATATAACGTTCGAGTATTATCTAATTACAATACCATGAAAAATATAATATATAATATATAAAATATATTGTAATATGATTTTTTAAAGTTTCTTTTAACACGTCCCTTAAATGTGTGTCAAGTTCTGTTGAAAATTTCAATTCATGAACACCCCTTGTCACAGTGAACGACGGAAAAATTCGATTCCCACGCTACTGTGTGGATTCCGATCCAGCTGTTAAGTGAGTTGAAGGTTGAAATTTGTAAAATTCGTAATATAGCATTAATATGCTGATTAAAACGTTGTGGATAGGGTTGTAGCCGGACGGGCAGACACGTAAGGCGAAGAAAACGCGGAGATTTGGCTGGTAGTCCCGTGGACCGGCGTTGTTAAAATTCTCCACGACCAGACAAATCGGTTAAGGGTCGTGCCTGCAACAGGGATAAAGTCGATTTACTTTTACAGC